ACCTGTGTCGTTTCCAGACCATGGCAGCTTTCCCTCTGGGTACTGCCCCACAGCAGTGCCCCACACTCTGGGTCCTCCCTTCCCAGGGAACCCGAACTGTTGATTTGCGGGTTCACGAGATTTAGACAGATCTGGGAATTTCACCACGCAATGCCTGGGATGTTGTCATCAGCCAGGGTTGCTCTGGTGGGTGCAATGGTCCTTAATGGTTGCTCTGGTGGGTGCAATGGTCCTTGATAGTCTCTGGGCATCTGATGATGATGTAGACTTCAGAGGTATTTTCTATGGCATCCCACATGACACCAGGACACTATTTAACCAGAATGTTGTTGAAGAGACCATGGTCAGTACAATAACCTCAAATCCAGGGCTGTACTTATGATTTGTGGGGCCTTACGCAGTACTATAGAACTGGTGCCCCTGTGTCTGATGACAGCGGGGGGGAGTGATGATTTTGTTAGAGATGCGATTTTTATGATCCTCAGCAACATACTAATGAAATTTTTTTGAAGCAGATTTTAAACTAAGGTCCTATAGACTAACAGTAAATTCAGAAACTGACAATATATACCTGGAGTTGGCAAATGCCCTTTAAATGGCTTCATTACTGTTATGCTTAAAAGAAGCACATGGGACCTTTTTCAGGGGGGATAAGGCAACACGCTGAATTTATTGATAATATAACAAAGTAGCATATGCATTCTCTCTCTCTCTCTCTCTCTCTCTCACACACACACACACACACACACACACACACACACACACACACACACCTGATGATGGAATAGTTACCAGTCTATTGCTTGGCCCAATCTATTGGCCAAGATAGGTCAGGTATGAGGAAGGAGCCGGGCTCTTGTCAGTCCGGACTGATGCTCCAGTTGGTCTTTGCAGGACAGGAGCTGAAGAACCATACAAGACACCCCATCCTTTATAGGATTTTCCTCCCATGCAAGTCTATGCATTCTGCCTTATCAGATCTTAATCAGCCATTCAGCATCACAATCAATCTTCCTATGACATGTGCTTATCAGGAAGGAGTTGATCTCACAGTCATAGATTGATGACCCCTCGTGGGTGTTGTCCTTCTAGCAAAAGTTATCAGTTCCCTATCAAGGGGTGCTTGCCACTAACTTCTGGTTTGTCAGTCTTCCCTGGTAGTCTGCGTCTTCAGAGTGCTTTCACTTAGTTGATTATTATTTGGTGCTTCTGAGTCTCCAGCCCTTCCTCTGGCCATTTGAGCATGCACTTATCTCTCCTAAAACATTCTTTCTTTCGTTTACACAAACAATACATTTACAGAATTGCAGCATGGAACAAAGGGTACTTCTAGTTGCTTTAACAAAGTTACCAAGTTTTTCAATGTTAAACTTTTTTCTATTTACTACAAGGCCTTGCCTAATATTAACATTACTATGTATTATGATATTCTATCTCTTCAGTTCAATATGCTAACATTAAACAGAGCTGGAGCTAAGTTAACAAAGCTGCCTGACCTGTTTGAGGCCTACATCTTGTATTTAAGTTTAATCCAAACCTTTTGCTATGACATACATTTATTACAATTGGCTTATTAGTTACAAAATTCCAATTCCAGTACTACATTACCACTTGAATGGCTCTTTTACAGGCTTGGTGTTCTGCTAGTAGGTCTGGCAGACTTTTTCACTTTTAAGTGAACTAGATCCTCTCTGGGGGAAGTGAAGCCATGGAATAGGAATAGGAACCAGAACCCATCCCACCACCAACAGGTCCCTTATTCTGCCTTCCTAATACGGGAGCCAAGTTCATCCCTGGGGCAGCCTGTGTTGGCTGTTCAGCTGCTCCCAGGGTGTGCGGAGGGGGGTTGGTGGGACTTGGGCTGCCTGTGGGGCGGAGATTCAAGCGCATCACCCTGTGCTCCCCAGATACATGCCTTATCTTCTAGGCCACTCCAGAACCCAACTACCACCCCCCTTCCCCTCCATGGGGATATTAAGTCCCAGGGGTGCCCCAAATTTTCAGGTCCCCTACACAGCTGCCTATTCTGCTTCTGGGTAAGGAGAGCTCTGAGTTGTAAATTCTGGTGAAGGAGACAGATTAGAGTAAATAGGTTGAGAACCACTGGAAAAGATAGAGATTTCAACACTGTCTAATCAGAATCTGAGCCCTGTCGCTTTGATTTGGTCATGAATCCCTGAATAGTCAGCTAACCCAGACCTGAATTTAATGCTGCCTCCTCCTCTGTCCATTTCTAATGGAGACAAGCAGCCCAGCAAAGTGATCTGTGGTCACAAAAAACAAAACAACCCCCTCTCCCGCACCAAAACCACAAACCCCACCTTAATAAAGAAGTCACCAACTGCCAACACACCCACCAACCCATTCACAACTATCAGCTTATTCACAGAACTCCCAAACCTGCTCTTTTACGAATTTGTCATTAACTAGAATGACATGCAAGTCTGAGCATCCTGCTTGGCTTCAAAATTGCACTGTTCTGTGTGGATGCAGCAAGCAGCCTTGAAATTGGAATGGAGTTTCCACCAGGTTTTTAACCCTGATGCTATTTCATCCTGTTTGGTAACTAATGCTAAAAGATAGTATGGTTTACCCTGGAAACTTACAGTGAAGGGCAATATAGAAACACTGTGGACTTTCCTATTCCAGAAAACAAATGACCATCAGGGATGGGCAAACTGGTTCAGATAAAATAGGAACCACCACCAATGCTCATGCAGAACTCAAACCAAATCTCTTTGAAATTCAAGGAATTGCTGGAGATGCTGTACATTTTTTTCACTTTGAGTCAATGGGACTAGAAGGTGCTCCAAGTCAAACCCATTGGGAGTATGCAAACTTATTGGCCTACAGCTAAGTGCTAATAGGTATGAAATATTTCATTCGCTCAGAATTGTGTTTAAAATTAGCTTCATTTCTTGAGCTATGTTCCAAAGCAAATCTTCATTGGTAAAAGAACAATAGTATATGTATTAATCTAGTTTTAGTCCTTGTGTAATTGGGTATTAAAAGACTTCTCAGGCATTTGAATATTATGATTTAGCAGTTTCCATTCAAGAGTGAAATGTGGGAAGCTGGTCTCCTTTTTTACTGTTAGTGAATCAAACTTTCTAGAGCACATCCTGCAATCTTTTGAAATCAAATCATGAGTTCAGAACATAAAATATTTGCAGCTCTGATTGTCATTCTGTATCTCATTTCTAATGAAAACCAAGAGATGCCTTCTGACATTAAAGGAAGAGGGTCGGCTTCAAAATCTATTCCCCAGTGGTGCCTGCCAGCCATTAATAACTCCCATGTCTGGCTGGACTAAGGTTCATTCTTTTGGCAGACAAGAGAACAAAGCATCCCAACTGCATTTGTCTCATTAAGCAGGCTGACAATGTGTTTCATGAAATGCTATCCGGAACAAGATCACTGACACCACAATTTACAGACATTTACTTTAAGTCCAGCCACTCCAATGTCCAGCTGGAGATCTATTGTTCCTAGATACATCCTAGCCATCCCAACAAGAGATGATCAGAGGCTTCCCTTTGTGGTTTTATCACACTTGTAATATTTTAGTTGAATGTTTAAAAAAGTATTTTACGTAGGCTGAAAGAATAATTTCCATTTCTTTTTGCTTGCACAAGAACACTTAAACATTCAAATAGCATACACATAGTCAACTATAGCAAGCTGGAAAGCCTTGTGTTTTGAGTCCCAGTTGTATACAGAAATCATTTTGGTGTAAAAGTATGAGATGAACATTTTTAAAGGCATATTTGTGCCTGTAGCTAATGTAAGTTTATGCAATCCCTGATGCATTCACACAGGAAGGGCTTTTTATATGTAAACATTGACATCAAGTTATTGTGCATGCACAGGTCAGGCACACACACGACTTTACCTTTGATTTCTAGTGGATGGTACTAGTGATAGGGTGGACAAGGCCCTGAGATCAGAAAGAGCCATAAAGAAGACCTCCAGGCCAACTAGAGGGGCAGTGAAGAAACTAGCCAACCAGGGGCCAGGAAGGACTACATAAGCAGCACCAGGGTCAGGGCAGTTGTAGCCCAGACCTGAGGGAGAGAGGAGCAGAAGTAACTGACTGGCCTGAGGGAGCAGCTCTGTGGGGAGAGCAGCGACCTGAGGGAGAGAGGAGCAGAAGTAATTGACTGGCCTGAGGGAGCAGTTCTGTGGGGAGAGCTGATTAGAGACTATGAACCAGAATATAAAGCCCTCAGCTAAGGGCAAAGGGAATTGTCTCTAGGAAGAGCCCTGGAGGTACCACTCTTCATCAAAGTGGGAGAATTAACTGAGACACAGATTTGGAGATGCCAGCAGAAGGTTCTGGGATGGGCTCCCTTAGGTGTGTACCCTGGAAGTGGTTTAAATACTTCACAGAGTGTGACTTGGCCAGAGGGCTGAGTGCACAAAAGGCTTTTAAAGAGACAATGAGGCAAATGTACTTGACCAAATGGGGTTGCTCACAGGAGCTGAGTACCACCATGTTACAGTATTGCATAGGGAAATATGTCAGGTAACTAGAAGATTGTGTTCCTATATTTTTCAAAGATTCTTTTGGTTTATTTGCTCACAAAGATGTAATTTCTATTGCAGAGTTAGTATCATACTGCTGCTGAAAATATGTATAGAATCATCTGATTAATTCTGATTTGCCTCCAACTCTTTAATATTCTTGATAACTTCCAGATCACTTTTTCAAGGAAACCCAAAAGCACCCATCCATTTTTACGTGAAATAATATATCAGATTTTTAGTCAGTAGACCTGAATTTCTCAGCTGCAGCTCATATTTGTCTGAATCTGTATTTCCCCCAAACTGTGGGATGAGGTTTTGGATCAAAAGTTTGTAGTTCTGGCCTATCTGCATACAGGGAAGAATCTTGTTTGGTTCAATGAAAATGCAGGGATTCAGAATGTGTGAACAGATGTGTTTGCAAATATTTTGGTTTCATTTGCAGAGGTTAATTGATGCTTTCACTGTTTCTGCAGATTCTTTAAGTGGCATGTGCATAACTATCGGGCTGATCATCTGGAGCTGAGTGGAAAGGAAAAGGGGGCAAAAAATGCTTACCCTTCACAGTAGGCTGCACCTGAGAGGTATGTGAATCTGAATGTATTGCTGCTTGCAGAAAGTATCTTGAGCAAAGAGCATTCTGGCAAGTAATGACACCACGTAATTAAATGCACGAGTAAACTGTGACTATCAGGAAAGGTTATGCAATACTAACGAGCAAATGCCACACAACTTCATAACTTTTGCTTGTATCAGAGCAATTTGAAAGAAGGTTGATATCTTAATAGGGTTTACATGCCTCATATGGCAAATGCAATGAGACTGAGTGCAGTGTCTGATTTCAACAGCAATTTTTCACTATCTACTTCTTCTTTTATTCCTGTTACATAGGTTCTAGCACAAAAAGTGAGTGAGTAAAAAATTGCTGTCATAAGACTCATCTGCTTTCCATTACAGTGACATTTAAAGATTGTACACATTAAAATTCTCCTACCTGCTGCAGCAACTGACATGGAAAAAAATAGAAGGTACAGTATGTGAAATTTACAACAGGTGGGAGATATTATAATTAGAAAATACATTTAAAAGAATCCAATAATTTAGATACTATAATGCTCGCCTCACACCTAATCTCTTCTCACTCCCACATATATCCCGCTGTCAAGAGGATGAACTGCCAGTAGAGGGAAACTGGGCTCTTCTAAAAGGACTAGACTGCAGGCTTCTATTGGTAGAAGCTTTTTTTGGAAGAGATCTTCCAAAAAAAACTTCTTTCAAAAGAAAGCATCCACACCGCAAAAGTGCACTTTTTCAGGTATGTCTACGCTACAGAGTTTTGTCAGAAAAACTTGAGGAATGTCTGCACTGCAATTGTGTTCTTCAGCAAGAAAATTGAAAGAACAGAGGGGCTTTTCTAGTACTGGTAACCTTCATTCTATGAGGAAGAAGCCTTTTTGCGAAAGAGCTCTTTCGCAAAAAGGCTTCTTCCTCATAGAATGAAGGTTACCAGTACTAGAAAAGCCCCTCTGTTCTTTCAATTTTCTTGCTGAAGAACACAATTGCAGTGCAGACATTCCTCAAGTTTTTCTGACAAAACTCTGTAGCGTAGACATACCTCTAGTTAATTCCTCAAAAGGATCATAATACTGAAGTATCAATACAATCAGGAACAAAGTCAGTTGGCCAGATTCCCTGTGACAAGTCAATGGCTTAATATAAGCCGGCGGATGTAGTCTATGTCCTAGGTTGCAGTTGTAAGAGAGCATTTTTGTTTAATAAGAGAGCAAATCAGATCCCCAGCACCATCCCCTTCTTTGAGCAACATACACTCCTGGTACTGTACATGCGAGTTATGGCAAGGAAAGGAAGAGAGTTCTGTGAATCTTGTTAAAATTCTAGCAGCACATCTCTGTCCAAGGCAGACAAATGACTCTGCATCCTTAGCATGTAAAAATGAAGGGGAAAATGTGTCCCGGTCAACTAGATATAGTCAGTGGAATGGTATCCACCTTCCCTGCCTGACTGCAAATCTTGCATCAACCTTTTACCGAGTTCAAGTGGCAGCGCAAGGGGCCACATTCAGAATATAATTAATTTGTTCATTACATTTTTCACCCCTGTAAGAAATTGTGGAGCTGAACCCAGGGGGTAGACAGTAGGTCACTTGTGGACCAGAAGCAGTTCGCCAGGGTTAATTCACTGCCAGCCAGATACTTTATTTACCCACACTTCTGCAGATATGGTAGCTCATAGGTCCCGTTGGTCGTGATTCACTATTCCCAGACAATGAGAGCTGCAGAATGCAGTGGCCTGCCCTGCACTGAATTCCACAGCTCCCATTGGCCAGGAAGAGTGAACAGCAGCCGAGAGCTGCGAGTGGAGACACAAGTAAATAAAGCGTCTGGTGGCCTGCCAGAGGTAAACCCTAGCAAACCGGGTTAGCCCACCTCTGAGCTAGATAAGCGAGAAGGCAGGGGTCAGACAATAATTATTTAATGATGGAAAATGTTGCAATTAAAAAATTAAAGCTATATAACCATTAATACACATTGTCATGTCAAAATATAAAAGGTAAATATTCTTAAATTAATTTCTTAAGTTAATAACCAACATTTTTTCTGACTTTACCTACCTATAAACTTCAGTTATCATTTGACATTTTTTCATTCGTGAAATTTTGTGTGGTGAAATAAACACTACCAGTATAATCGAAACCTTCCAACCCTACTTATTTGATGTGTCCTATTAAAAAAAATGACAAAGCCAATCTGTTGAACCTGAATTTTACCTTGAAAAGAAATGGGCTTGAAACAAACTAAGGAGCAAATTTTTAATCATAACATTTATAAACTATCAGGATATAGCAGAATCTCCTATCGTTTGAAGTCTTGTTTTTAAAATGAAGGTTAAGTATCTATTTTTTTAAAAAAAGATATACAGGAGCTTTAACATTTAGTTATGGGCTGATGCAGAAATTACTAGGTAAGGTTTTCTGGCTTGTGGTATGCAGGATGTCACATTAGTAGATCATAATGGTCCTTTTTGGTATTAAAAATATGTGAAATCACATTTGTTGATCCCTAATCTGTGGCTTCACCATATTTCTGGTCTTGAGTTTGAATGAACCCTTAAGTTAGATCACATTTCTTATGAAACTGTGGGAACCAAATCTACAAGAACGATTTGTGTCTTATTTGAACAAAAGGCACAGGGTTTTCTTCTCAAGTGTTCAGCAGTAAAGCATCTGATGTGTGTTTAAATCTTCTGGACAAACAATTGTGTGTCTAAGTTATGCACACAATTATTGTAAACTGCCCAGTGTGGATAGTTGTGAATGTAAATCAGCATAATTAGCCAAGTCAATGTGGAATTGGCATATTAACCTACATAGTGTTGCACAGCTAAACCAAGGTTTTCAAAAGTGATTAGTGATTATATATGTTCAACTTGAAATGTTTTAAAGGTGCCTGAGTTTTAGGAAGTGCTCAATACCCTTCTCTGAAAATCAGGTCCTTTCAAGGTGTCTTGATCACTACTCAGTTTTGAAAATGTTGGCCCCTAAAGCTTTTTAAAATTAGGCTCGTTTCCCATTTCTGGTTTCTGAGCACAAGGCTGGGGCTATAACCTGCTTGTTTATTTTTACATTGACTATAAAATGATACCCTGCGGTTTATTTCTTATTTTCCATCCACCACTGATATATCAAATTTGCTCAGTTTACAAGTCAAAACAAGATTTCTCTATCTCCAGTGACTGCCATCCCAGATGGTTGCCTGCAAATTGTTCTTTGTTCATTCTACTTCATACAATGTCCTTGCCAGCAATTAAGCTGGAATCAGAATGTGGCTGGCAGCAGCATAACACAGAAAAGAATAGTTTGCACTTTTGCTATTATATTACCACTGCCCCCTCAAAGGAGAAAAAAAAAACCTTGATTTTTGTCAGTAAACAAAGCTGGTTTGTCTCGCAACGTAGATCCTAAGTATGGAAAGGAAGTACAAAAAGTACAGGCCGTAACAATATATAAAATACATCATTCTGCTCATTAGAAATCCTCAGTCTGCAGAAATAAGACATTTGCTATTTTAGAGCAAAATGAAATGAATATATGGAATTTTATTTATTTCATAAGTCTATTAATCAAAACCCTGGAGTCCTGAGTCTGACCTGTGGTATGCAGGATGTCACACTAGAGATTCGCTCCTTTTCTCACCACTAAACAGATTATATCCCTTTGTTAGTTAATAATAAAATAAAGAAATGGAATTGTCTTGGCCAATTGGAATAGAGGGATGCTGAAGAGTTAGTGGTCTAATTGTATAAGGTCGGAATCCTGATTTGCACAATAATTTTAAGAAGTAGGCAATATAAAATAGCAATTAGGGACAATTAAATGGACCAGAGGCCAGATAGTAATTAATCTCTGTTCTATGTCTCTATGGGTGCGTTTCTGCAAATGTTGATGCAAATGAACTGTGGGTTCAGTTATTCAGCTCCAAACTTTTTCAAACACTGGCTGTGTGTAGAGAGAACAGTTTTCTTGTGGAGAAGGCAAGATGCATTCTTTGAGGACCAACAGGATGGAATGAATGTCAATGCTGCACCATGCATTGCAACATTTAGCTGGTGTGTTAGGGATCAATAACAACCACTTTCTTTTCAGTAATATTCTATTGCCTGTTTTACTTGATCTGTTCTCTGTAAATACTGAAGATATTAAATAAATGTTCCTGATAAGATCAATGGGCTATTGTAATCAACATGGAGAGAAAAGATGATCTCCAGCAATCCATTTGCAGGGCTTTGAGGAGGACCAGCAAACTGTAAGGGTCTTTTTTGTTTAGAAATACCCATGGCCTTTCATAACACCATTTTATTATAGCTGGGGAGGTTTCAGCAAGACATTTAATATCTCTTTTTGTGTGTTGGTATCCTCAGTTATGAAGTGGAGGTGACAATAGAAACTATTCTGTATGAACAATATCTGAATTAATCTAATATTCGTATTTTAAATCCATGAATAACACCTATTTCACAAGGTTGCAGAGAGACTAATGGTTGTAAAACACTTTGTGTTTCTTTTCCCTAGGTTCTCTGTGTCTGTTGTCATCCAACCCAGCTTAGTCCTCTGAAGTAAAATTTCAAAAAAAAAAAAAAAAAAAAAACGAAATAGGAAGGGTGATCTAACATGCAGGACTGGAACACAAGAGAACTGTGTTCATTCCCTGCTGTGCCAGAGACTGCCTCTGTAATCTTGGGCAAATCACTTAAATCTTAGTTCAGCAAGGGACTTAAAAATGTGTCTTGACATCAAGCACACAAGTATAGCAGTTCTACAGACTTCAGTGGAGCTATGAGCTTAAAGATAGGCATGTGCTTAAGTAATTTCCTGAATTGGAGTCTTAAACTTTCTGCCTCAGTTCTCAATATGTAAAATGGAGATGATAGTCAATTCTCCCACCTTATTTGTCTCTCTTCTATTTGGACTGACAAATCTTTAGAGCAAGAGTAGTCTCTTACTGTGTGGTGTGCAGTGCTGAGCATAATGGGGACTCAAGATTCAGTTTTAGTAAATAATAATAAA